TAATTTAAAATCAGATCACAATAAATTACATAAAAAAATTTTTAATGTCTATTACTTAATTTATTAAATTTAGATTTAAAATTTTATATAAATAATATTTTCATCCAAATTTATGATTTTATTTTATTTAAATAAAAAAATTAAATTATCAAATAAATCAAAAATCCATGTCAAATGTTAAATCCCTTGCAATGTAAGCATGACATGGCAATATTTTGCCATCCAAGCAGCCAAGCGGGGTGTGTCCTCAACGGCAGTTAAGTTGGCGTAAGAAGAAGGGTTTAATTGCTTTGATCCCAGAGTTCAAGGGTTTAATTGCATCAATTAAAGTTTAGGGGTTTAATAGTGATTCTGAGATTAGTTCAGGGGCTTAACTTATGGTTTTACCTATTTCCTATATTTGTTTCTTCTCACTTTTTCTATCTCGTCTAGTAGTGCTTGTCTTTTCATGCTTTCTTCCTTTCACCGTGAATAATTGACTAAAGCTGGCTGTCCCATTTCGGGGGTACTGTTTGGTGTAATTTGTTGTCATTTTTATTTTTAAAATATTATTTATAAATGATAATTTTAAATTTTTATTAAAAAAAATTTAAAAATAACTTTTATCGATAAAAAATAAATAAATAAAATTTATGAAAAATTTAAATTTTTAATTTTTAATTTTTTATTATTTAAAATTTTTTAAAAGATAAAAAATAATTTAAAATATAAATTTTTTAATAAAAAAATTTTAATTTATAAAATATAAATAATATAAAAAAAATAAAGGCAATTGAAAAGCTGCACTAAACAAACCCTTCCCTATAAGTTCCAGTTGACCTTTTCTATTCTTTACAAATTAAATTGAATTTCTTACCCCATTTTTCCGTTACCTCTTTGTGCTCTCTTTCTACCGTAAGAGACTAAAATTTTCCCTGATGCCTCCTTCTGCTGGAGGTAACTTTCTGGGCAATAGAATTTCCTGTTCCTTTGTTTTTCCTGCTATTACTTTCTAAATGGTAAATTAATAGAATGTTTCCACAATATCTCTTTTTTATATGTCCACCAAATTAGTTTTTATATATGCACCTCACTTTTTTAAAAAATTAAGATAAAAATCACACTAAAAATATCATTTTAAATAAAGCATCACAATAAAAAGTAAAAAATAATTTAATTTATGTTATAAAAATATGATTTTTAATATTTTTCAATAAAAATTTATTGAAACAATGTTAATTTATGTTATAAAAATATGATTTTTAATATTTTTCAATAAAAATTTATTGAAACAATGTTAATTTATGTTATAAAAATATGATTTTTAATACTTTTCAATAAAAATTTATTAAAACAATGTAATATATTTCACTCTTCCCTTTTTTTAAGTATAAAGATTAACATTTTTTACTTAATTAGCAAAACTATATATATATATATATAAGCTTGTTGCTTTTAATAATATCATCAATTGATTTAAGTTAAATACACCGTGTTTTGTTGATATTTATATCAATTTTTATGTTGTGCATAATAAGCAAAAATAATTAGTAAAATACTTGGAAATGTTCATAAAACATATATAATTAATAGGTCAGAAGAGTATTGAGAAATAATGATCCTATGTACCTTGTCTCTAACATAATTTATCTAAAAAAAACAAATTTTCTTAAACTTATCCAGTTTAATACATGAATATTTTGTAATTTAAATTATAAAATATCAACCACTAAATTAAAGGATTCTCATTCATTAATTGTTATTAAGGAGCTTTTTATTACCTAATAATTAATATTTGTCGATCTTTTAATCTAAAAAATAAAAGAGGAAATCGACCTCAATTTTGTTTTTCATAATTTTTTTTTTCTAATAGACTGAATCATCCCCCTTTCCATGCCTCTAACTAGACAAAATTGTGAAATTTAACATTTGGTATGTGAAAACTAACATATAATTTCAATTTTAACAAAAATTATTTTGTTATATCAAAAGTTAATTATTTAATATTTTAAATATTTAAATCTTTAATCTTAACTTAAATTAAAAATTTTAAATTAATAAATATCAATGGGAGTGGAAATGAACATGTGAAAATGAAACAATGGGAGTGGAAAAAGTGTGAAAAATGGCGGTTTGGGCACTTACCTAGCAGCTTCCTTCATCCGTATCCAGGCACGTCAAACTTTGAATCCTGCCCTACTACTTTCAATGCACCTTGCTGTACGTCACCTTCGGACGGTGAAAACCAGTCGAACCGGTCCGAGCCACCGACGTGAAATAATTCTATTGTTTCTTTTTTTTTTAAAGAAAAAAAAAGGTCAGCGACACATATAACATATTCTGGTGCCAAGTCACGCGAGTTGACGGTGAGGACCGCAAGGACCGCACGTGGGTGATGACTTGTAGTTGTATCTGTACCGCCGTTAAACTGACGTTTAATTAAACAAATAATTATAAATCCACCTTCAAATCCAATAGTCAATTCTCAAATTTTAATGTTTGATTTAGTAGATTGAGAATTTAATTTCCATCAATAACTTAAAAAATTCCTTCATCCCCATAATTCCTCTTGTTAAAAAAAAT